TACAAACTTATTTACGAGTATGGTATGAAAATATTACAAAATTAAAGTGCTTCACGTGATAATTTTACATGGCTTAGTGTTTAACACCTGTTATATTTATACTTAGTTCGCATTGTATAATAACATTACCGGTGCTCAACTATAATAGGCTTTCCCAATAATAACGGCTTTCATATTATTTCTAATTACATTCCGTGTAGGTACATTTTCACACCGCCATGAAATAGGTATTTGTTCTATCGATCCGCAAGTTACAATGTCTGATTCTGTCGTAGGTCCTCAAACATTCATAAATCATTTTTATTGGAATAGGTCTGTCATGATCTAGTTTCATAACCCTTAATCTGGGATTCTTTCAACTATATCCTAATGCGTTTACGCATTCGGGAGGAAGGATATATCCAACAATTTATCTTTTAAAAACTTAACTTTTTTTAGGGTGATTTCCTATATATTTACTGCTTCGTCATACAAATTTACTGGACCAAAAAAGTATCAAAGCTTCATGATTTTAGATTCCAGCATGATACAAGTTCTAGAATTCACTATCTAAATTTTTACGTGACCAGAAACAACCTTTATGACACAAAGTAAGTATAACTTTCATGATGCATAAGATCAAGCTTTAGGATTCAACACTTAATTTCACGATTCAACATTTAAGTTTCACGATTGAAATCTTGATTTAAGCGTCACATTTTTTCTCAAGCTTTTTGATCCAAGTTTTAAGATACAATCTCAGGTAAGTATTGATTGTTCAAGGTTCAAAAATTCAAATTTAAACGCAATCATAATCAAAGCCTCCAGATTCACGGTTCAAGACACATCCTGAACGGTCATTTATACCGTCAGAATTAAGACCTCAAGTCTCAAGCTTCAAATTTTAATTTTAGTACTACGCTTCAAGATTTCTGGCTAAACTTGATATTCTTCAATATTTCAATTTCAAGACCCAAGAAATAGGTTGCTTCATTTGAGGTTCTAAGTTGGTCGATAAATTCTTTAAGATCTTCTTTACGAGTAGCAGTAATAAGACCATCATCTACATATAATGCTAAAACTATCTTGACGCCATTTTTCTCTTTAACAAACATACATGGTTCTTCTCTACTAGTTCTAAACTTTAATTTTTCTAAATACTTTCCATAAAGATCCTTTCCATCTTTTAACCAAATAAAAAGCAAGGTGGTAAATGAAGTCAATGTTCTGCCATTCATGTAGGGGTGGATTGAGGAATTGTGTTTGTTTTTGCTTACATTTTATACCTGTCAAAATCGGGTTTACTAAAAGAGTATCTCGCTTCATTTTCAGATATCTGCTATTGCATGAGTATCTGGTATATATTTTCACTACGTGTAACGTGCGAAATGTATCGCTTTCAACGCTCGTTATGTAATTCTCTATTGTCTACGAATCGCTGACTGCAGTAAATACGTGGTGAAAGATGTTGCAACGTTCTAGCAAGTAATAAGAATATTTAATTAGAAGATAGCAAAATGAGAAATTAAAATTCAGGTCCAATTTACTAATCAAAAATCATCAAACATTACAAATTTCTATTCGCATGTTTGGCTTACTCCATTGGTAAAAATTTTTATACGCGATCTGTTCGGAATGTGAAAGGAGATTAACGTTTGAAGGATAACGCGGTGACTAGAATCCCTTGTATTTTTTATGGGTTCAGATCATCGTGGTACACTTACTTTGCAACCTTGGCCAATTAGCAGAGATATCCCACCCTAAATTAATCGGAAAAACATTTGATTGTTGACATTGATTTTGTTAATGCATATATCTGATTTAAGAGGATTATCTACACTTCCTTGTTATAAAACACCCAACAGTGCATAAATATGAGCAAAAGGTCCCCATTATTTTTGTGCGTCTCTAATTCTCAAGGAACACAGTTATCACGAAATTAGGATAAAGAATGGGAAACTATTTTCATGCTGGAAGCTATAGTTAGTGTCCTGATTAAGGATGCAAAGAAGAGAACATTTATTTTGATCATCCCCTGTGATAGATGTCCAACATCCAATCGTTATGTGCATAAATAACGAAACCGAAACGTAGCGCTCCAATTAATTTTTTTTGCATTACGCCAAATTTGGAAGTCAAACAATAGGTTACCCATATATATCTAACGCTATATAATTAAGCGCACATAAATTAGAGACAATACAAAAAATTCAGACAAAAGCTTTTAAAAACGAAACCACTCTCGGTTTTAGACCTACGTGAGCTTAATTCCTATGATGAAAGGATAACCTATAATTTAAACTGAAAAAAGAAACTAGCGCGGCATTTCAACGTTTTACACATATTACCCACATTCCGTGTAAAGTATAACTAATGGTGATATTTTAATCAGAAGTATCAGTATTTAACTCGCATACCATCATTTTCTTTATGCTAATACGTGTAATAGCGGCGAGTCATTATTTATAATGAATTACTGTTTTGCAAAATCCCTAAAGCGACAGAGAAGAAAAAAAATATTGCAAATAGTGAAATTTATGGGCGTAAGCAAAGAAAGTCATAATCCGAATTTATGGTACGAGGGATTAATTAAATTTGACCCTTGTGAGGCGAGGTTGGAGGTAATATCGGCCGGAAAGTAAAGTCCAACAGTAATTTAGATCAGTACTTTTTTATGTCAAAAAATTTGATATTTACTTCAACAATGAATTTACGGATACTAGGTTAGTCCAGTAAAATAGGGGCAGGACCTCAAAGGGATTAAGCATAAATTTTGGTACCCCAAAAACTAAGAAATGTTCGGACTTTCTTCAATGTTTGGTTATATCTGCTAAACAACGAATCCTAGTGAAAACTTTATCTAGAGGTGAATTAAAGACCATTAAATTCTGCGTCGATTCACCTCTCCAACTTTAAAACTGGACCATTTTATAAGGTAGTAATCGACGGGTGAAGGACGACAATTTTTCCCATATTGGCTAAAATGTACCAGTTGACCACGGTCTCTCAATCAAAATTTTGTTGTGTATGTATACCTTATTAAATAAATATAACTTTTATAGCCAAAAGGACATTTTCCATTATCCAATCGTTTTCAAAGTTCTCGATTTTCAGGAACATTAGAGAGAACATTGGTACAAAACTTCAACCAAATTGGCCTGCGCCTTACAAAGTTATTCAATAAATATCAATTTTATTACCAAAAACGCAATTACCGAAAATGGTTCCAAAAGATTTTTAGCTCTCGAGACAATTTAAGGGAACATCTGTTTCAAAAAGTACTTTATTAATCAAAATTGTGCACTTGATTTGCGAGGTGTTGGTAAAATTATACATAAACCGGCAACCGGTAAAAAGGTTAAAGACAATTAATTTATGCTTCCTTTATATTTATTGCTGGAGGACCACAGATATTGCTTTTTGTCGACTACATAAATGTGTTTGTCTTCCATTTAAGGGACTAAAGTATCACTTTTTCTTTCGAACGCGACGCCGGACAAAAAGTGACAGTATACACTGAAATTTAAAACAATTGAATTATTATAATTGTTACCTGTAGACGTACATTTTGGTTCGTGCACCATATTTTATACTTATACCGTTTTCCTTATATTTTTTTGAATTTGAGAGACAGTCATAGCTTGTTCTGCAGAGTTTTAAACGATCATTTCTGCACCGCACTTTTTTGAAGGAGAATCATTAAATGAAACTGACATTTATTATTATACGGTCACAATTTGACATGACAAGGTATATTGACCCTAAAATCAAACAAAACATTTTTTAGCCCCAATATGGCGGATTAATGTAGTCACTGCAGCTATAGTTTGTAAATTGTACAAACCAATTCATTTTGATGAGAGTATTAGAATACCATGAACGGTAGAGCATGTGCCCCCTGCTCCCCTCAATTTTCTACTTGGCACCACTAAAGCTAGGCGTTGCAAAATATGAAATCATTTGGTATTGTCCTCATTAGCGAATAATGAGCAGTACAATGTTTTTTAATGCAAACTAAAAGGCAATCAGTTAGTGGCAATGGCCTACAAGCGAAGATAAAATGTCGTCGGATAAGTTTTTAACCTCAAATCACTCCCAGAAGTAAATTTGAACGTTTGCTAATGCCTTGCTCAACTTTTTAGACAAGATAAACGAACTAATGAAACAGTTTAATAAAGAATGAACAAGATAAGGGAATCTAAAAACGTAAAAAATCGCCGTACGTCGTAAAGATTAAAAAAACACATCAAAAAAACTTCCATTTTATTGAATTATAAACGATTCTTGAAACTCTTGCGTGCACCAAATGAAGCAATAAAAACAAACTGTGCTGTTTTTGTTTATAACACAATTCATCAATATTATGATTACTTGCAAAATGCAAATCAGATTAGATATTTCCAAGAAATAGTGGAAGATGAGTTGAATTATTTTTTCACTAACCTCGCGTTTAGTTTTTTACCTGGTTACTTTTTTTATCTTGTATCTTTCGTAATAAGTTTACAAGTTTGCCTTTTTTTGAAAATGGTACCATTCATGACATTGATAACAAAGATACCACCATAGTTTCTCTTCCTCCTACCCCGAAACTATCCCTTTAACCGAGGCCTCGCTTTAACCAATTAAAAAACGCATTTATTCCAGTATTATCCATGTGAAGAACTGGAGCAAAACAGGTTCACTGCACTCCCCCATCTTTTTTTGCAAGGTAAAGGCGACGCAAAAATATAAGTTAGTACCAAAACCTGAAATAAAGCCCAAATAATGAGCACATGAGATCACTGCACAAATTAAGCGAAATTTCCGTTAATTGTCTTTTTTCAGAATTGTTTACAGAAGTTAACTTCATTCATCTTAATCTCCCGCTGTTAGATAACCTTTGATTACCCTACTGCATAATATCATTTCTAGTCTAATGCGGAACCTTTCAAGATAAAGGTTCTTTGCACCGTACGTAGTAAATAAAAACACTATCCGTTTTTTTCCCCTTCAAGTTACGTGACCTAATGAATGTTTCTCTTGAAAAACCTCACGAAACAAGTGGGGCGTAATGTTTCTGGTCAATTGCAAGAGAAAATTCCGTGTCTAGTTGCGCTGTTTCTATGCATCACTCTATATCTAGCCGCAAAGTAATAAATAAGCGATTACGCTTAATCATACTTTAAAAAAACAGTTCAAGGTCCGTATTTTTGAAACTATATAAGATATATGGGAGGTGACTTATCAGTACAGCAGAACAATTCAAAATGAAGCTTCTAATACTCTTCGCTCTACTATCTTCATCTTTCGCATCATGGGTAACTATGACAAGTTTATCCCAAAATTTTTAAAGTGCCCTTGCAGAAATTTGACATGGACCCGGAAATACTACACGACTGGCTGGGAATGATGCAACCCTATACGGAGCAATGCCACAAAGAAACCGACGTCGATAAGGAGATTGTATACAACGCGTTCATGAAGATGGACCTTCCGGAGGATTACAAGGAATTCAATTGTTTCGCGAAGTGCATGTACACGCGTCTCGGTTTTTACTATCCCGAAACGGGGAAGTTTGATAGGGAGCTGATGGTGAAGCGAATTAAAGGTATGACAAAGCATATAGCCGAAGATTGTTACGAGCATAGGTATCATACTGAGGAAGAGGACAGGTGTAAGCATATGTACAATTCCGTCGTTTGTGCGATAAAGAAATTGTCGAAAATGGTGGACTGAGATTTGTACTCACGCGATAAATAAATTATTTGTAACCATTCAATAATGCGTTCAAATTACTAAAGCATGCTCTAGGATTTTATGAAAATGCCAAACCATTGACCAAGGAGTTAGAGCACTACATGATGGACTCCGTTGGAAGATAATTAGTGATCTTTTTTAACGATCTAACTTACGCACCAATTATTTTTGCTTTCAATTTATAGTGTTATTGTGTGTTAATTAAAACCATTGATTAACTTTATTGCACCCAACAGACCGAAACAAACCACTACTACTTTTGATACTGGTATCTGACAGACCGAGTCTCCAAAAAAGCCGAAACCGTTAGAAATGATTAAAAGGTCCCTCTTGGTAAGTAAGACCGCCTTGTTCGTCCCGTCTGCCTAACTCTTTGTTCAAAAAATGTCAAATGAACATTGAAGGTTTGCATGATACGGGGTGATGTTTCAAGTTTGTGGTTTAAAACGGGTTTAAAAAAATTTTACAACTGATCTGTCTACATGAAGTTTAAATGAGTGCCTAAATTGTAAAGTTCGAATATTTAAAACTACATCCTAAAGCTTAACCTTCAACCCCAGAACCTAGACTTAACAGTTAAAGGTTGAACCTTAAGATGTAAGCGTAAAGCTCCAAGTTTGTACCTGAATGGCAGGCAACTGTCGTACATGTCTAAAGGTAAGTTCATAGCTCTCCGTTCATACGTTTCCGTTTGTCCGTTAGCCAATCAGAAGACAGCAAATTTTTAAATCGTACGTCGTCCGTTCACGACGGAAAAGTTGGTTGAGGTTGAACATTTACGTTTCCGTTGGTCCGTTTTTAACAAGAGTGAGGTTATGTTTGGTACGTTAACAGTGTTCGCCTATTCGTTCTTCACGGTAATAATCAGATAGCACGTGTTCTTACTTTCGTACCATTGTTACATACTGGAAATCACGGAGGGTACAATACAAAATAAAATTTAGGTTATGGTTATACGTTGCAAATGTACAATGTGGACGGATTGCTATGAACCTTAACAAAATGTACTATCTGTTTGACGGATCAACGCAACGGATGAACGGAGAGCTATGAACCCACCTTAAGGCCTGAGGTAGACAGAGTACCCCTAATAATATCGTCGTTTCAGAAATGTGAGGTGTGAGGTTTATTGTGCAGTGAGAAGGTTTCTTGTAGACTCAGACTTGCATTTTTGCCTCGAACTTTACACTGTATTTCTTATGGCAATAATTCCATGGCTAATTGTTCGTTTATTGTCACTGGTTTAGTATCACTGGTTTTTTTTCTCTATCGAGTGACGTAGAAATCCAATTTGTTGTCCATTAAAAATAAGGAAGTTGAGGTCAACATCTCGAAAACCGCCATTTTGTAATTTTTTGTTTACGGCCATTGGATTTATCCCATCGATCTTGCAACTTTTATTTGAAACCTTTTTCGATAGCTCTCTTTGTTACTACAATATTTGAACTTTTTAAAATTGGCGATTTTCAACAACGGTAATATGAACAATAACCCTACCTAGGTTAAGGTTAGCAAAAACCCATTCGCGCAAATACGTTTTTAGATAATTAATTTAGGCAATTTTAACTGGAATTTCATGAAATTTCCACATTTCGTAAAGTAAGTACCTGCGATTTCAACAACAAAAGCAATAGTGATATTTTCCTCAATCCCAATGATACCAACTCACTCTCTGTTAACACAGTGAAAGCGCATTCAGTCAGACACTCCTTATGGTTACGTTCAACTCAGAAACGGAACGTTACAATTGGGATATGCAAATGGAACCATAAAGCAAGAAGAGGTTTATGATTCAGCTAAAATTGAAGAACCAGAAAACTCTTTTTGGTTGCCATTTCCTAAAAGACGCTGGAATCGTGCTAAATCTAGCCCAGAAACGCTGGTATTTCTATGATTATCCGAATGTCACCTTTGTTAGGAAGGGAACTAGAACCAAAGGGAACACGAAAAGGTCTTTCGAGAAGACCGCATTCTTTAAATGTAGCAAAAAAAAGAGTTCCTACGCCAGGAATTAGACGATCTATTATCCCGAGACCAGCGCGAGAAATTAATTTCTGTTTATCTCCTACAGTAGGGTAGAATTTGAATTTGACAGTGTAACTTAAAGGTTAATTTTAGGTATCTAAGATTATTTTAGCATAGTAAGTAAACTATTCAGAATTATAGCGCAACCATTATGACTCATGAAATAGGTTATGTGAGCATTCGCTCTCTCATAGGGATCACGAAGCGTGCAAAATTGCGATTTATACAAATCAATTTGTTATATTAAAAGCGGGTCGCTCCAATAGTTGAGGGGCGAGTGAATTATAAAGGCAGGGGAAAGAGAAGAAGTTTAGTGTCAAAATTCGGTTTCATTGCCGACATCGTAAAACTTCCCATCGGTAAATGAACATTTGATTGATCCAGTGCTTTGTTTTTTACTCGTCTGCGAATTATTAACACCAGCTTGCGTTGTGTTCACTGGATATAATATATCAAGTAAAATTGGGAAAAGCAGTATGAAAATCCCAGTTGCGAAAACTCCTTCCTCAAATCTACCAAAACAGGTAAGAAGGGTGCAGTAAATCGACGTAAATTTGGGAAGCTTAGTTGACGCAGCAGCCATCCTGAAATTACAGGCAAGGACAACTTTATCCGTGAGGGTGTAGTTTGAATATGTCTGTAGCCCCCCCCCCCCCAACATGGCACCCTATACGTCCCGGTAGTAGTAAGGACGGGCGAGGGGGGGGGGATTTTTTACAAGAAAAAGACGACTTATGTACAGAGTGTTCCATTTTTACGGTGTAAATAACTGAGTTTTTTAAATAGAACACCCTGTATATTTTATATTATCTGTTGCCATCTAATTCATATTTTCCGGAAAATTCCCCATAAGCAAGCCTCACCTTTATGAATCGTAGCGTTGAGCAAGAATGTTAATCCGAGTAAAGGGCAAGACTTTGAGAATGAGATAGTTGGATTTAGTGATACAGGGTGTTCACAATGAAATGGTAAATTTTCCGAATTTCAAAGGACCATAACTACTACTATAACCACTATTTTATTTTGCTATTGGATAGTCTTTTGTGTTCTCTTCAATTTTTATAAGAGCCTTCCTATGTCTAAACCTCGTAGTTCTCGTTATACTGCGAAATAAGGAGTACGCGTGTAGCAAATAAATAATTAAATAAATAAATTAATTTGCGACACTCGCGGCGACACTATTTACATTTGGCCATTCTTTTGAGTTTTATTATCACTCTGGTGCATAAACATGTAAGGTACCTAATTCATTAATGGGTATGTACTTTTGTGAACAATATTAAAGAACCTAAAAACTACGAAGTATAGACACAGGGCATCCCTTATAAAAGTTGAAGAGAACACAAAACACTAATAACTAGTGATATGTACTTCCATATGAAAAAAATAGTGGCACTTTTACCATTTCATTGTAAACGCCCGAATCACTAAATCCAACTTTCTCATTATCACAGTGTTACCCTTTACTGGGCTTAACATTATTACTCCAATTTATTTTTTTGTTTAACTTAAAAAACAAGATACCTAGCTATGATTCAATAAAGTGAGGCTTGCTTGTGGGGAATTATTCGGAAAATAATTTAATAATATGGTAACAGTGACAAAAAAAACAAAAAACGAATAGGTTTCATTGTAGAGGTCAACAAATGAGATCGAAACAACTAAAAATATACAAGGTGTTTTATTTTTTAAAATCACTCGAAGAATCATCTATTTACTACATTAAAATGAGACACTCTGTTCATTTCAAAATATTTTCTATAGATCCGCAACCATCCACAGTTAACATTTGCATAATATTTTTTTATATCTTTACAAGGTGTAGGCTAGGAAAGACTGACGCACTGCTGTAGGAGCCTGTATAAATAACAAATACAAGGCAATTAGATTTGTCTTTAATCACATTAATAGGACCTTTTAGCGTTGGCTTCATTAAAAAATGTCTATAAGATGGTCGCTTTGTGGGTCGTGACAATATGCAAACAGGACCTGGTAGTACCTGGAAGTATACATGCAGGACTGGGTAGTACATGGCAGTACATACATCGGCAGGACTTGGCAGTACCTAGTGCTAGTAGTACCCGGCAGTACACATAATTACTGGCAGGACAGGGCACAGGGGAGTACACCAAGTACTACCTATTTCGACAGTAGGTACGTGTAAGTTTGCTCAGTGAAATACCCCTCGTTTACCTTTTAGGATTTAGATAATTCAAACCCCTTTATGAATTTTCACTTATAATAGTTTATCGAGTGAGTTACAAATAATAAAGTCGTCAAATTTGTTGCAAAATAATAAATCTCAAGATTATGCAGGGTCAAGGGTATTCAATTCAAGATCAAGAGTTACTAAACCCTTGTCTTCAAAATTATCTAAAATAGTCTTGACAGCATCAACTCTCTCGCAAAGTATTCATAGAAAATGCGAACAATATTCCCGAATTTTCAATAAAATCTATTGTTTTTATCCTTGAAAGGAATTTTCCCTAGTTTAAGACAATTGCTGGCGAGATGACTGCCATTAACCCCATTTTTTTTTGTTAATTTAACGCATTTTTATTAGGTATTAAGTTTGTATGTATTAATTATTTAAACTTGCTGGGAAAATAACTTAACAATGCTATTTGTTGGCATTTATACTTAGTGAGAAAAGTTTACATGCGACAAAATGATATAGGATTTTAACCTTGCATACTTAATTTGGTCGGGAACGTTTCAAATTTTCTCTATTTCCTTAAGGGACCAAATGTAACCGTATCATCTTTTTTTAACCAAATAATGGCTGTGTCAGCATTTGACTGCCTAGAATATCGGCCTACAAATTCGAAGAAGAATTGCGTCCTGGTAAATTCGACCCTGTGGAAGTTTCACTACAAAATTTCCACCCGCAGGAAGACTGCTTTCCTATCGATTAGAAAACGTTCCAAAAACCTCGTCCTCCAAAGAACTGCCCTTAAGAAATCTATTTTCAATTTATCCCCCTATATTGACCTGGTCTTTTACTGTTAGGTTTATTTAACAAAAACGACCAAGTTGCCCAAAAAAACGAATCCAATGTTTGTAGTGTAGGAACTTGATTACGCAGACAAAATTAGCACTAACGATTTAAAAATGGCAATAGAAATCCTTCGCTCCAAATAAGTAGATGGACAAAACCATAAAAATCGTAATGAAAAAATCTTAGAAAACGTGTAAGGAAATAAATAAACCCACCCACGCCGACAACAGGTAGAACACTGATGATGAAGAACAGGAAAATGAATCTCGCGTGGTGTTCCACATGAACGCACCAAACGAATTTGCGATCAACAGAGTAACCGGAAGCGTTTTGTTTAAATTATGAAGTAATCGTTATTTCACGCTCATCCCATTTTGTGGACAAAAATAACCCATTGTTCGGTATTCCACTCATCAAAAGAGAATTTTTTTCAAGAAACTAGATCAAGGTTTCGTTGAAAGAGTCACATCACCGACTATTAATGACAATTATGTCATTTCTGTTACTGACTGTTAAAATTTAAGATAAAAGTGGTACCCAACCCATTTTCCATTAATCATACGACGCACAAAACCAGACGTGTATTTTCTAATTTTCTTCAAATACTCGACGCGATACATTGAAGGTGAAAGTAAGTTTATCGACCCACATTTTGAGTTACTGCAAAATTTAGGAAGCTACCGAAATAAATTTTAGATGCCTACAAAAATTCGATGGAGGCCGTTGACATTTATAAATAATTGAGGAAAAAATAAACAATAGTGCGCTTACGTAATAATAATAAAATATTCATATCTTAAAGGATACTGTGGTACAAGGTGAATGGCAATAACTTTCAGGATTATGAATGGGTGCATGATAAAAATGATGAAGAAAAAAATGAAGAAAAAAGATTATATAAGAGATTTTATCGTCGATTTTTTCGCAATGATTCTATGTTAATGAACACAATTTAAATGGCAAGGACTTGTACGTGTAGAGGCTGGTCATGCAATGTCCTTTTTATTACAAAAAAAAAGGTGCCAGAGGACTCTCGCATGTAGGGTAAGTTACATAATCCTGGACTTACCAATTGAAAATGCTCACATTCATAAATGCAACGTGATAAAACCAAACAAACATCACGAACACGCACGTTAAACCGTAAATAGACGTAACTGCAACTATCAACCTGTAAAACTGTGTACTGAGGAACAACTGACTGAGTCCGGTTGCAAAAGTCAACGGTGAGCGATCTGCAGCAGCCCACTTGACGATGAAGGTAACTTGATCATGTTACCTACTAAACGTTCGTATTTCTTCGGTTTCTTTCTAGAATTATTCCAATATTTCCTTTAAAAGAGATAATTACGTATACATTATTCGCTAAGTGGGGCTTTCCTCTACATTACGCATACGGAGTAAGAGTGAAGAGGTTGCTGTTCGCTACATGCGTTGAAGTCTCCCAAAATATGAACTCGTTTTTCGTTCATTTTTGGACAGTAATTCCATTTACTATCGCATGTTAATTATGATCTATAGGTAATAACAATGAAAAGCATGAAATGCGATCTTGTTGGATTAATAGTTAGATACTTCCTTGAACCAAAATACATGAATTAATTTGTTCAAGGACTCTATTTTGAGAACGAACAGATCCGTGAAGTTTGGCAACATCTATGCAATAAAATACTAAAGTGTTATAATTTTGAGATAATTTTGTACTATTTGTCATTTTAACTGCAATTGAGAATCGAATTGTAGTAGCACACACAGATCTAGGTTGTTTATAGACAGAGCACTGAAAAAGTACACAGCCATTTTTGTAATTTTCAAAAGGGATCAGATTAAGTGTCCCTCCTCTTTTTCACAGTAGTCTACAGACAAGGCCTATCTTCTTCAACCCTCCTCAGCACCTCTTTGTCAACCGAGGTAATCTTGAACATTGATCTTCTTCAACACATTTATAGCGCTTCTACCTCTTTTTTGTCTTCCCAAGTGTACAAGTTTCATTTCTATACAACAAATGCTCCATATAAAGATTGTTTTCAGATGTTTCCTAATGTGCAAGTCAGTATTTAATTGTTGAAGGTAAAAATTTCGGCTTTAGCTTAATTTATTCGGCTTATTATTTTTGCTTTTGATCTCCCATGCGATGTAATCTTGCTTCCGAGGTACGTAAAAGAGTTTACGTTTTACAGTTGGTCTCTGCTCAGCGAGCACTGTACCGTTGTACCGTGTCTACTCAAAACCCTGATTTTTGTTTTGGATTTTTCCATTTTCTCGAGGGAAATTATTGTATCTCTTCTTCTGCCTCAGCTAGCAATTTGCAATTTGGATTATTTCTCCTTGGACCTTCACACCCCCTCTATCTTCCATTTGGCCACTCCTTTATCCACACTCATTTGAATGTAACCATTGAAAAAGGGGAGTTAGAGTAAGCATCCCTGCCTTATTCCTTGTTTTGATCTCGCCGCAATTTTTGCCAATCCACCTAGTCAAATGCCTTCTCAAGATCTATAAAGGCTTTGAAGGTAGCTTTGCGTAATCCTGTTTCATTTATCAATCTAAGGGCCAAAAAGGCTTCTTTCGTACCACTCCCCATTCTAAATCCAAACTGATCATCAGTCAAAATATCTTCTATCGTTGAGTGACTCCTAGTTAATTACTCAATGCTTCTACACTTTTTTCTATGCTTTTGATTATGGTGTTCGTGAGGATTTTAGATGCATGAGTAACTAAACTGAGCGTTTTATTAGATGCATTTGCTTTTTTTGGCAACGGTATTGTGATGCATTTTTTTAATCCAACGGTAGTTCTCCTGCCTTATATACTTTATAGCTTACAAACCAGATGGAACAGTTCATCGTGCACTTGATCCTTTACAAAAAACTGATAATTGTTTCGTATGCCTTCTCAAATGTTCCCTCCTCCATTAACACATCCTCTTCCTTACAACGGTCGACCAAATCCTTTTTCTTTGCCTGTATTACTTTCGTGTTTATTTCATTCCTTATTGCTCTGTACTTTCTCCTTTTTTCCTTCCCCTGTATGGCTCTTTTTTCTCTATTTGTTTAATAATTTCCTCTGTTATCCACCATGAAGGTTGTTGTGGGGAGGGGGTGATTGCCAATGGGTTGATTTTTACGTACAAATGTGTCCGCTCGAAAACCTAAGCTGACGTTTCTCACAATTTAGTCTCAAAATCAACAGACCTACCCAGGGTATCTTGTTTTAACAGATCTACTAGTAATCCCTATATTATTTTGTTATGATGGGGCGATGTGGGAGGTCCGATGCTTCTGGAGGGGAGGTCCGATGCTTCTGGAGAAACCAATTCATACGTTAATACACAACACTTACTGTTTAAATATACTAATGTACGAGAGAAAATATTGCCACGAAACTGATTTCTATCAATTACTAGTCTATCAATCAATTAGCAGTTATAGTGATTCATGAGAACTTAGTCATTACCTTACAAACAATTCGCAATCTACATATTAGGAATGTTTCCAAATACAGCACCATCCACGAATCGCTACAATATTTATTACATCGTTTAATTCTGCATACTCGTAATGAATATCATCCCTAAGAGAACATACTGCATCTAAATATAAATAAAAACACGCAAATCGGTCAGTAATTCATATTATGAGTTGGCAGGCAAAACCAGCACTAGGAACAAAGGGATACTGTAAATCTAAAAACAAGATATTTACGTAGAAAACATAATGGAGTCTTGCATTTAATTCAAAGTATGATCAGTATAATTATAAAAGGACAATTTGTATTAAAATGAATTATAACTGACAATACCCATGCTGTACGGGAATGCCGTTAATTTGACAAACAATCTAACACGATCATATAATTACTAGATGGATGAAAGACGTCACCTTTGTAATTGTCGAAGCTGCACTCACTATTCGAAACGTGAAAATTACTTCTGCCCTCAACCAAAGCACTAATACCTCTTCCTATTTCCTAGACGAAAATTGTTAATATCGACGCGCGGTCGTCGGTCGATATGCAATTATGCATCATTAACTGCTCTCGTCTCGCCTTATGTTTGATACTTTTATTGTAAATTATGGGCCATTTGAATGCAGGACAGAGAACTAAAAAAAAACACGTGTTCCACAGAAACGAAACAAAGCACAGTCTTGGATTCCAGTCGAAAATATATCCGACTTGCACTTTGCAGGATCCTGTTCAATCTCGGTGTGAGATTGAGTGGATTTGGGGCAGAATTTAAGACGGTAAACCGCCAGTTTCACCAAAATTGTTGACTAAAACCTTACACCACAAATGAGTAGAAGCATTCGCTAAATACTAATTAATATATTTACACGTTTATAAGTATTAAATTTCTTGCGTATCTAAATAGTAACTTAGTACCAACTTGTTGTATAAACATTTCAGAATACTTAATCTTCTGACCTATTAGCCATTACATATTACAATAGGCAAAGGATGCGTTTTTGCACTTAAATCGCACCGTATTATTATGTCATAATTGCTATTTTATTACTTAATTAATCTCTTCAATCCAAATTTTACTCTTTGCTTATATTTTTAATTTTAGATTTTAGAAATAAAAAAATTGTTATCTGAATATTTCGCATGTGATTACACTTGGTCTGTCCTTTCAACCTCTTCAAATAATATTTCATCTCTAACTTCAGTACATTTTATCGATTTTCTTTTCCATTGAAAAGCTAAGCTGCTGTGAATGACATAAAGGGCGAGTTTCAAATGATCTTAGTAATACCGTAGTATGAAAATAGCATAGGGATATAAAAGCAAAAAGATGATAATCTGAAACACTGTAGCGAAAGCAATTCGAATATGAAAAGGCCTGCGTTTGCGTTAAATTTGCAAAATGTTGTAGTATATTATGTTCTTATGTTAAAATGATCTTTTTGAATTTATAATTAAAACTGATCCAAAAATTAGTCGTAGATCGTCACGAAATATAAGCATATGTAAACAAGGATAGGCATCTGGATTTTTAGGCTAATTGTTCGAAAGAAATGCCCCTTATGTGATGTTTTGTCCGCTCGTCTGTCCGTCTGCTCCTCGCCAAAACGAAAACAAAAGGAGACAGCGATGTCAAACCTGAGCCGATTAAAAGTCGTGGTTCCGAATGCGAACTGAATGTAAAAAATTTCCCTACTGAAAATCGTATGCAATTCTTGTTAGAGTAAAGTAATATGAAATTTCTTATTTTGTTGGAGTGCCTATTTTGTAATTTTTGTAAAAGACTTTAGATCATATGCCGTTTTCGAAATTATCTAACGGAGTCTGTACACAATTTTGTCTATAGATTTAACCTAAAGGTACGTAATAGGTCCACTAGATCCACGTAGATATTTAACAATTATCCTTAAATAGAGCGCCAAACTTTAGGTCTGCTTCGTGTAACTTTCCATCCAATAATCTGCATTTAAGTTATAAACTGTACATATTATCGTCGTCGGGCACGGGAAAATTGTCAAAATTTATGTCCTTCTTGTAAAGCATTTTATGGCATGTTAAGAGAAATTAAACAAGAAGGAAAAGAGGTGCTCATTTCTTGACTATGTTTATGGTAATACACACCTGTTTACCAGTCCTCCATATGAGAAATACGTCATTGATTGAAACATATTTTCACGGCCTTAAAGTATCTTTTTTGGGAAGGTCAAAGTTTCAATCAAGAAAATCGTTCGAATCTCCCCTTATCGAACGAACAATATGCCGGTTCTACACTACTACTATAGTACTATTCCTGCTTAATTATTTTCATTTGATCGCAATAACAATATAACTTATAAGAGTTGAATAAAATTTCCGAAAAAATGGTACCATTCCTTGTGCCATATACTCAATTTTTTTAGACGAATGCAAACTTTGGGTCTTAAAGCATTCATCCCATAGAACTTTCATTTGCATTTCTCTATTTATGAGTTATTAATAGCGATCGTAAATATTGCCCGAACAGTAATGCCTACATCGGCATTTTCGCAGTCGTAAAGTCAAAAAGGCAAAAATTCTTCGTACAGGCAGCACTTTCACAATAACTTTTTAAGTAATTTATAATACAAGCTAATGAAGTAATAAATTTCGTTAAAAGAAAAGAACACAATTTTCTCAATTCCGCCGCGGAAGTTAATAAATAATTAAAAATATTTTTTTTAATAGGTAATAAAACTGAAATGCGTGATACTGAAAGTTTTAACAAAATTATAAAATTTATTTCTTT